CATTCGTAGTGAATTCCATGTGTCTAGGTGTAGGCACCACGTCGTCTGACAACGGTGTCGATTTTCCCGATTCGTTCTCAACCATAGAACCTACAACGTCGTTAGCCTCTACTGTCATCCCACCTGAATTGTCAACCTTTCATGAATCGGTACATCGCATGGTCTCGTTGTACTTACATATAGTATTCCCTTCGTTGTCTTCTTTCTTCGTTCCTTTGCTAGGCTTCTGCTCGGATTCGCTGGAGTTCATGGCGCTCATCACAGCCACTCCGTCGCTGAACATGGAGAACAGTTGACAGAGAGGGATACTGATCTCGAGCATGGTCAGTGTCTGTAGCCAGTTCAGAGCTTGCTCCTGCACTTTCGCGCAGGTGTTCACGAAGCGTTTCGCCACGAAGTTGTACATCTTCTTCGCGTCGAAGCCTAGGGGACTCATGTCTCGGTCCAAGATTTTGCTGGAAACGATGATCGAGTAGTTGGAGGGCTTTTGTTAGAGGGTAAGAGGCTTTGCGAGATTGTTCGTACCATAAGATCATTTTTAATTCGTGCAGCTCGTACTCTGGCACGTCGTTCACCATGGCCTCCATCCAGTGTGGCATCACGTAGTCCCAGACGTCTGGGGTGATCACGTCGTAGGGGACCAGGCAGAATAGGCGATTTAGGCCGTCTTTCAAGTGCGACGTTCTCGAAGCCAGTGTCTCCCTTAAATACAATTACTCATTCATAAATTCAGTCTTCTCTGACTTTTATGAAGTAGTATTGCTATTAGAAATCCCTAATTCACGTGTGTCTAAACTGTACACGTGTATTAATTAACATATAGTTAATATATTTAACCCTTTTGCTACTACGAGTGACTGTAGTCACCAGCTACGAGACGCCACCTACATACGACAGGTGACTATAGTCATATAAACACAAAAATTGAGACAAGTACTATCGTTTCGCTTATCGTTAGTTCTCTTAGCAAAGAATTACAAGTGTTATTGCAATGGCCGATTTTTCTTTCCTCTTTTTCTATTATTTTTTCAAAAGACTTGACCACGAGTGCTAAAGACAGTGCATATGCAATGCCACTACCTTTGGCACGGAGCTTCCTTCTACAGGAGGAGGCTTCCTTCTACGATGAGACCTGTCGTAGCGAAGGTGTTAAAATTAGATTCGAAGCTTTCCTCTAGAGAATAGTCAGCTGAACCTTTTCTCTTTAAATTTTAATTTTCAATAACAGGATGACCCAATATTTCTGTAGGAAGATAGGAAATATTAGGAAAGATAGTGAATATTAGATAGTAAAAATTAGGAAAGACAGATGAGGCTAATCGCGATTTCCTGAATGTTCTGCAATGAATTTCGAATACTATTCGTACCAGTGTCCTCCGACTCGAACATAGTCCGCTGGATGCGGAAGAAGGCAGGAAATGAAGACCTCGTAATGAGTCTTCATCACTTCTGACAGCCATCCACACACGTATTCGGTTTTCAATTTCTCCAGCGCGCTCTCCGCTTGTCCTACGGTGGAACAGGTACGACAGATCAGACGTGATTTCAGGGAGTAATGATTCTTATAGGTGATATCGGGGATATCACGGGTTTAGGGCTTGCCGAACATAACCGAGTCACAGTTCGTGTCTTTTCGAACGGAAACGATACAAAAAGCGGAATTTCGGATGACACAGCAAAGACAGAGGAATGGTACAAAGCCTATTGAATCTGTATTAGCAGTGTTACTTCGACAGCATGCGAGAAGGGTCGTTAAATCTCGATAATACTCGACTCGGAAAAATTTCTTTTAAAGCGATCGAGCATCGAATCGTATCGTACTCTTATTCCGAGAATCTACCGCGATTCCCACGGAATTTTCTTGCAATTTTTCCACGATTTCCGTGCTATTTTCCCGGAATCTGTGCAACTTTTGCGCAATTCCATCGCGATGCTTTTTCCCGGCAATTCCATCGCGACGTTTTTTCCCCGGCAATTCCATCGCGACGTGTTTTTTTTTCCCCCGGCAATTCCATCGCGACGTTTTTTCCCCCGGCAATTCTATCGCGATACTTTCCGCAATTCCTTCGCGATACTTTCCGCAATTCCTTCGCGACTTTTCGCGATTTGTTCGCGTTTCTGTTCCTTGACAAGGGGATCACTACTTCGATGCATAGGAACGTTGGTAGAAAATTCCATCGTCGTGCGAGAGCAACCGACAAATTGTAATGGAGGACGTCGGAACGTTCTCGGATCCTATGCATCGATCATCGAGAGATTCGATCAGCCGCGACGCAGACGCACTCTTGTTCCTTGTTCCTGTGATTTCAGAGAAAGCCTTCGCGTGGTTCGTTTTGTGTGTGTGGCATGCACACGTAAAGGCAACTTAACGCATAGGCGTCAACCTAGCAGATTTATCTATAATCAAATGTATCGAGTATCTTCTAATTACGTGGTAACATTTAAAAAAAAACCAACTCTATCTACGGGAAAGAAGAAAACTCTGTGTAATCGAGACTGCGCAACGATAAAACAAGAAAAGATACTAATACGCAGAGCGATAAGGGTACGAGAGAGATATCGCAAGAGCAAAAGGAAGGTCGGAGAAACAAAGCTCTAGAGCAGCTGCAAAGCTGACGCCTCTACGACAACGAGTTTGGATACAGGAAACATCGAATACACTGATTTACTGGTACAATTCGTAAACACCAAAAAGTAAGGGAGAATTTAGAGAGTGAAACAGGGGGGCAACACACAAAGCTATTCGATTGGAACGTGTTGAACGGTGAAAGTGTTCACGAGATTCAAGCTTTGGTGAAACACTGACAAACATGTACACATGAATGTTCCTTTACCTAACCATGACAATTGTTCATCGTACGTTTCGTTCTTTTCTCATCCTCGCTCTGTCTACCATCTCATTAATCCCGCGTCGATGTACAAAGCTATTATCAAGATTCCGAGACAGGGCGAGGTAAAAAGAACGAAAACCAATCGAAAAGTCGGCGATCCGCTCGAATGTGCCTACGATCGCGGCCAAAGACTACCTACGGTCTAGCGATGGGCTCGAGACGCTTCGAATCTCGTCAAGCGTGACACTTCGAGTCTCCGATCTCTCATAATCGAATATCACTTGACAAGAATTTGATAAAGCTACAAGTCGATAAAAAGGATGATACAAACTACCCAGTCACGCGAATTAGATCCAACAAACAGGAGACTAGAAGCAACGTTTGACAGCAGTCAAGACCATCCGCCGCCCATCAGCTGGTCATCTACGTTCTACGTTCATTAAGTGTATAATATGCGAAGTGTTAAATTACCAACAGAAAAGATAAGGTGCATAAGGCTTTTTTTAGTACCATCGAAAGAGTAGGCAGTAACATGAAACCAATGAAATAGCATTGACAATAAACGGCCGAGAATTTCGATCGAGGTGTCCTGGTTCGGGGTGCAAAGCCCCACCAGCAGCCAGACACCGTATCTCCCTAGCAGCTGCCTCTCCTCCAGGGTGGCCGAATCGAACTGACCCCCGCTACCACTGCCGGAACCACCCCCGCTCACGCCGCTGCTCCCTGGGAATCCTGTGCTGCCCTTATTAGTACTTATTTCCGAGATGTCTCGGTTACTATCCATACTTAGCGGTTCAGCTTCCTTAAGCAGGCTGCAAGAAGAGAGGAAAGGTGGTCAGTGGGCTGCCGCACGCGATCTACGGCCACGTCTGGCTGTGGTCGGCATAATGGCGGCAATTTTTCAGGGGTCGGCTTTGGAAGAAGTGGCTGGATCCGCGATTTTTATCGGGGATCGACATTCTCGGGTAAATCGATCGCTTGGAATCGGTAGATCCGGCGGTCTCGTCGGCTCGGGCTGATCGGGCACGGGCTACGGCCTGGGCAAAAAGTTTCCCGCAATTTCCTAACGATTTGAAGCGACTCGATGAGCAACAGGACGCCGAACGTCGAAGAATCGAAGCTTCCACGTTCAGCGATGATTTTCCTCGAATTCCTTCACGATCCACGGTTAGCCTTCGTCTTCGTCCCGGATTGCAGTCTTCTTTCATAGAATTCATAGATTTTGAAGGTGATTTTAGAGAAAAAACGGTGGTAATGGATCGGTCAGGTGGATCGTGAAACAGTTCGTGAAATTTTATATAGATCGTGACAATGTCGATCAATTGCTTGGACATGTTCCTCGGAGATGTTGAGCGATTGTTGAGATCTGATTAGTCTGCGTCGACCACAACGCTCGTTCGATCAGACGCGACGTTAGATCGTGCATATCGGGAGAGATTATGAAATTATTGATAATTGCAGAAGAGATCGGATCTCCGAGAGGTAAATTTTGAGAAATTCCTATTCCAAGTGACAACAAACGTGAATACTGTTCCGTGTTCTGTGTTCTAGCTACGGGGATTCATGCTAGTTTCAGTGTATCAGAACCACATGCAGTATCGGTGTGTCGATAAACGAGAAAAGTTTAATATTCAAAAGAAAATTGCTATTATATTCGTTGATATAAAAAGAAAGAAAGAGAAAGAGAAGACTATGAAAAGGAAAAGAAAGAAAGAAGAAACTTAGGAAAATAGATCATGGTTAACATGTTCATCGCTGAGGGTATTTTGTCAATGATCGTATTATTTTGAGATAAACGATGAGGGATTGAATTGAATTATATTGTGGCGTAAGGAACATGTTATTTAAGCTACTATTGTCCATTAACCACTAGCGATCATTTCTGGCCAACGAGACCTGAATGTGAGATCCCTGACGGTCAGCAGTGACCCCCACAGCAGTGAACGTGTTAACCACAATTTAACACTAGAACTACCAATTTTTATCCATTTATTACTCATTCATTACCAAATTTATACCTTATTTAGGTACGATCTTATTTTATTCGGCAAATAATCATATTTTCGCATTAATTTTCACGAAATAATTCGGATTTCTGAGAAGTTAAAAATTTCCAAATTTTGTCAGAAGTGGTCACATATCGTATTAATTTTCAATTTTTACAAAATAATTTTGATTTCCCAGGAGTTGAAAATTTCCAAATTTTGTCAAAAGTAGTCACATATCGTATTAATTTTCAATTTTCACGAAATAATTCGGATTTCCCAGGGATTAAAGTTTCCAAATTTTGTCACAAGCAGTCACATATCGTATTAATTTTCAATTTTCACGAAATAATTCGGATTTCCCAGGGATTAAAGTTTCCAAATTTTGTCACAAGCAGTCACATATCGTATTAATTTTCACGAAATAATTCGGATTTCCCAGGAATAAAAGTTTCCAAATTTTATCAGAAACAGTCACATCTCGTGTTAATTTTCAATTTTCACGAAATAATTCGGATTTCCCAGGAATAAAAATTTCCAAATTTTCTCAGAAGCAGTCACATATCGTGTTAATTTTCAATTTTCACGAAATAATTCGGATTTCCCAGGAATTAATATCTCTAAATTTTGTCAAAAGCAGTCACATATCGTATTAATTTTCACGAAATAATTCGAATTTCCCAGGAATAAAAATTTCCAAATTTTCTCAGAAGCAGTCACATATCGTGTTAATTTTCAATTTTCACGAAATAAATCGGATTTCCCAGGAATTAAAACCTCCAAATTTTATCCTAAGCATTCCCATATCTCCCATATAGGTAACCAAAAAATTGGATACCATTTTGACTAGTAAATACTAATTGATAGTTCCAGTGTGTATAGATCTTATCGTGATATTATCGAGAAAATAAGAGATCGGTAACAAAAGAGACGGAAAAGATCCGCGGATAGTGTCCCGTTAAAATAGTGTCTCTGTTCGTGCAGCATACCAGTGTGTCTCGGTTAATGGGTATCTATTCAAGCCTGCACCAGTGGGTCCGTTTTTATTTGTGGAACGGTACCAGCTGCTGGTGTGTCGTATCCAGGACGTGATACGGCGTGGTGTCCTCGCATTGCAACTTTTAAGGTGCACTTTTCCTATGCTCTCTACTGTGAGGCTGAATGCTTCGGAGTCACGTGTCTTTCGCTCGTGGACAACTCGAAGAAAAACTTGTCCACGCTAGCCGCCATCCGGCTTCGAACGTCTCTCCGCGGATTTCGAGGCGACCTCCGGCGCTCCACTTTCAGCTAAACGCTTCCTGGTCGAGCAGCGAGTGCGTCTAGATCTGACACAGGTCGTCTAACACGCACGTGATAAAAGAAATTCCACGCTTTTGCCGCTTAATCGTCGATCGAGACCGAGAAAGGGTACTTCCCGTTGCTGCGTCTTGCCTAGTCTCAGCTCTGTTCTTGGATTCGAACCTGGACCCACGCGGTCCCCGATAATTCCCAAGTGTCTTTGGGTTTTACAGAATTTTCGAAATTCTTCCGAAGTCTAGGTTAGCTTTTATTCCCCGGTAAATTCGTCGAGTTGCCAAATTCGTCGTCCTTGATCCTCGATGGACTCCGAGAGACTTTCGAAGCCCGGAGAGCCTAGCGTCGATGACGGATCGAGATGTCCGCTATCGAGTATAACGGGTATTATAGTAAATGAAGGCACAGAAGGTATGTTTTTCGTTGGGACATGGTTGCATGCGACATCTCGTCCGTTTCTGTGAATATTCAAAAACAATAATATGGAGCATCGATTAACCACGTTCAACGGAAATCATGGATGGTTAGCACATATGCTTGACACTTTCTTGGCATCTTTCTGAGGCTCCGTTGAACGTGGTTACAGCATAATGTCTTACCAAGCAGGATGGACCAGCACGAACAAACACGCAAAGCAACAATGATCCTGCGATCATTCGTTAGTACGCGTCATCGTGTTACTTTCGAACATATCGAAGATAGGACATCGTCGATAGTGATTAACAACCATCGCTCGGATGCGACCTGTCACCGCTGGATAAAAATAAACTACAATTTTAATGGTAGACTTCTCGTCAAGCTAGACTTCCCAATTGACAGAGTACTGTGTAATTCGCATATTGCGTACGATCATGGTCGCGATCTGTGGGTTGGTAAACACGAATGGAACCACTCGAACTGCATCAACGTGCCTCGCATACGTTCACGTCATCAAAAACACGTTTGTCGCAGAAAGGGCTTCGACATCGACGATACGCTAGAGGCAAGAGACTCTGGTACCCCTTTTCATAGTACTTGGATTTCGTTCCAGACACTGAACTATACTCGAGACACCGAAATCAAAAAATTCAGTAGAATATCTTGACATATAATAGGGTGGTCTTTAGAGATCTAGAGATTTTCAACGAGTTGAGTAGCTAGTTTCTTGGGAGATCTATCCCAGCGAGTCTCTTCTCTCTAGCAATGGCAACGTCTCATTAAACTCGTGCATTAAATCACAACGACTGTGAGTGTCCCTTGCCCCAACCATAGTCCCCATTCCCTGTTCCGGTATCTTTCGAACGGTAAGCGGTACAGGATTTCTCAGCAGACAGAGCACGTGGTCGGAAGTTAGGTGTCTCACCTGACTATCGCCTGGACCATATAGGTCTGCGTCTGAGGATCCAACTTAGAAATGTGCGGTAACGCTGTGTGATACACGTGGTCCCCACCTCGGCGTTTGTCGTGTCGAATATTGTGACACTGCTGGCAATAGCGAATAGGGTGGTTCCCGTTATAGCTGGCGCATTCGGTGGAGAAACAGACGCTGATCGCTGATTTGTCGGTGGCTTTGCAGTTCTAGTGAAATTTGGAAAAAGCAAATTAGAAAATTTACTCGTAAATTAAGAGGAACAGATAGAACAGTAACTTTAACCCCTTGACCTACGATTTAAGATTCGACAGCGTGGTCCCAAAACGTAATCAATCACACACGACTAACGCGGGGTACATCAACAAACCATGGGCGTGACAAGTGGTGTTTGCATTTAGCCCGACCGACGTACCACGTGCCAGGCACGTGATAGTCAGTTTCGACCCGACCGATGTACCACGGGCCAGACTCGTGATAATCAGTTTTGGCACGAAAACCTGACCACGAGCCTCACACGTGATTATAGGCCACGGGTTAAACATTAAATCAGGACATCGATCATCGCAAAAGTTCCATTTTCATGTGTTTAGTGTCATGTCACAGGGATGCTAGGTTGATTTCCAAAATGGAGTCTCATCATTTACCTTGTTCTCGCATATCATGGACACCTGTTGCATGGGATGCAAAATATCGTAGAACATCTGATTAGGATCGGCCCTGTGTATCTCGTTGGCACACTCGATGCAGAGATATATGGGTGGCGGGGTCTCAGTGGCAAAGGTGATGGATATTCGATGATCGTAGCACACCTTGCCAGCTTCTGCGTTCCCAGCGTTAGGGCAGGAGTCTCTCTGACAGACGAACGGTGTCAGGTCGTCTGCGAATCAATCGCGAATATTAATGAATCAACATGGGGAATTAGATTGACCAAAATATTGGATATTCCTTGAAGAATTTCGGTAGACACGTACTCGCAAATTTAACGAGGACTGCCCTGCGGTCGAAGAGGTTAGGGTTGAACGATGGCCAATAGTAGAACAGCAACTTGGCGGCTGAGGCTCTGGCTGGGGCTGTGCCGTAGGCTACCACGCACAGGATGTCCTTTACCACGCCTGGTTTCAGTGCCATCAGACACTCCAGTAGTTGACAGTGGTGTGCTGAAAGATCCTCAAACTATTTTAACACTGGAACTGAGAACTAAACAACCTAATCTTATTTTCTTCAGTGAAGATACTCTTTTAATTGGACTAACGTTGACTGTCATCATTGCCAATATATTACTATAATTATTATCTTTATTATACTTATGAGAAGTCAGCAGGCCTAGTATTCAGATAGAAACTTTTCATTTCCAAAGTGTAACGAAGAAGATAGGAACCTGGGTTGTTGGAATAGTGGAAGATCATCATGATGACTGCAGCTATGGACTGACTGGCCGCGTTTTCCGTCCCATCCTCGGTCTTCCTTGCTGCATTTCAGAGAAAATGACTTCGGTCTATTAAGATTCTAGGGTATCTGTTAGAGCAAATTCGGATGTTGGGACACTCACTGATGGTGAACGGTAGGATGTAGAAGCAGAGGTAGTTGACAATGTCCTGATGAAGCTCCGACGGAAGCACAGAGATCGAGCTGGCAGTCAGGTAGGGCACGTTGTCGATCAAATCGTGATCCAGGAAAGGCAAGAGACACGCCAGACACTGCAGCAGCGCCTGACCAAATGCTGAAACACCGATCTTTAGTCGCGAATACTCGGATGAAGCTGGGATTGGGAACAAACCTTGCAGGCCGATGTGAATAGACGAAACCACGTCGATCAACTGTGTCAGAGCGTTGTACAGCTGTTTGTAATCCAAGTTCGGGTAGAGTGCCATGCGTTCCGTGTCGAACTTCTGCGACTTTACCATTTCTAGAGGAGCTTCGCGAACTTCTTTCAACAGAGCTGAGAAACGAAAAATAAATAATAATAATTTAACTAACAATTCTCGGAGGATGTAGGTAATTATACTGTGATACTCTGATCCTTACACAGCAGCATTTGGGAGAAGAACTTCACTGTGTTTGCCATGTCGAGGCCGGAAGGCACAGGTTGGCTACTGTGACCACTGTGAAGGAGTCTTTGGTAATATTCGTGGAGGTTACTCAATTTTAACGAATCTGGAAATATATGTAGGATTTTTAGCTATGTTAACTCTATGCAGACCAAAATCTGCGTGTTTAATAAAGAACAACTCTCTTTAATAACGAAACAAATTTATTTAATTGACATAATACACCAGGTTCCTCTCAATTATAACACTCTATTCTCGACTACACCCCGTCTGCTTGCCTCGTGACTGAGGAAGGAAGCTTGAGTATGAAAGAAAACAGAGTGCAGGGTTTAACCACTTGCGCTGGAAAGACGTGTCACGCACGTCGTAATGCTTTTGTCACAGAATCGCCAATGACGTGGTATACACGTCGTTAGGCAATTGTTATAGGAACTCTAGACCGAGTTTCTTGACGCGTCTGTAAATTTGCAAGTGGTTAAATGAGGGTGCAAGGGCTGTCCTGGGAGTGTCCTGTTGGTGAGATGATAGACGAAGTTTGAAAGAGGGTCGGTGATAGTTGGAATAGTGCGAATGTAAATAGCCTAGTTAGTTTGTAAACTTTTTAGCTTGCAACTCACTCTTAGGTCTCTTAGCTCGTGAATAAAATATATATTGGAATCAATAACATCCTTTTATTTCATATATCACCAATCAGAACAATATCCCTACAAGTATGTTTTTGGAAGTGCATGTGGAAGATCTAGAATGCGTGGCATTGTGCAATTGTTATAGGTCAGAGTCAATACGTAGTGAGGAGAGTCAGTTTGTTATGAAAGTGAACAGTGACGAGATAATAATAGTATTAAGAGAAATTTTACCACACATATCTAATCGTTGTGATCTTTTTGTGACGTATGTGTTATAATTTGTAATAAATATATGATTGTTAAACAGTAAACTCACAATTAGTACTAAAATGTGATTAAATTAGGAATAGAAGTTAGGCTATTATTTTCATACTCACAGGCAGCGAATCTGGTTCCCATTTTGTCTGTGTTTTAATTCGAATACAGTATTCGAGATTTCTTTATTTCTCGTTGGATATGGATCACTTGAGTATGGTAATAAAATACGGATACATGGGATGACGAAAATAACATTTCACTGGAGGCTCACGTCACGTCACGATCACCCTTCTGCATTTCTTTTAAGGATTTTTCTTCATTTAATCACTGTCACTTCGATCGACGGCACGAAACGCGAGACTCCTTTCCGTGGCATGTTTTGCAACTGCAGAATCAGCACGGGTCCATTCCAGCAGACTCGTCGATGGAGAGTGAATGCGCAGGTCGTATCGACCTGTTTGGCAGAGCTGCGCCCTCTCATCTTTTCATCCCCTTCCGGTATGAAGTCGAGTTCCCGGGAAATTCTAAGAGGCGTGACTCCATTCGACTAAATTTAATTCATAGGTAGACTATTCGTAGTTGGGTTTTCATTTTGAAAAGTATTTTGTGTGGAAAACTCCCGAAATTTGTGTTTAATAATTAAGGATCTAAAATTAATAGCATGATATGTAATTTTTAATCGTTTTTTATTTCGGAAAATATCGTAAGAGGATATTTTATATCGTGATTAAAGGTGTGCAATTCTAGGAATTTAATTTAATTAATTTAATTATTAAATTCTGTGAATTTAATTTTGATTGTTTAAGAATTGACGTTGATGTTTCAATTAAGGCTGTATTTTTAATAGCCATTTAAAAGATATAGGGTAGATACTTATATTATTATTACAGATGCTTATATTTATAGATAAATACTTCTTATATAAATTTAACACCTAATTTTCGGAAATTATTAAGATCTTTTGAAAAATTTATTTTTCAATTCTCATCATAATTGACTTGATTCGCCTAAATTCGATTCCTAGTTATATTATTCATAATTGTTTTGTTATTTAAAGAGATATTTAACGCGAAAAGATTTCGAAATATATATTTAATAATTTGAGAGCTTAGGTTGATGTCATAGTACATTATTTGTAATCGTTTCTTATTTCGAAAAATATCGTAAGAGAATAGTGGAAGAGGATATTTTATATCGTGATTAAAAATGTGCAAAAATTTCCATGAAATTTAATTTTTATTGTTTAAGGAATGACGTTATGTTTCAATTGACGTTATATTTTTAATAGCCATTCAAAAGACATTTAATTCTTACATAAACCTAACACGTAATTTTCGGAAACTATTACGGTCTTTTGAAAAATTTATTTTTCAATTTTCATCATAATTGACTTCATTCGCCTAAATTCGATTCGTAGTTATATTATTCATAATTGTTTTGTTATTTAAAGAGATATTTTACGCGAAAAGATTTCGAAATATATATTTAATAATTTGAGAGCTTAGGTTGATGTCATAGTACATTATTTGTAATCGTTTCTTGTTTCGAAAAATATCGTAAGGGAATAGTGAAAAAGGATATTTTATATCGTGATTAAAAATGTGCAAAAATTTCTATGAAATTTAATTTTGATTGTTTAAGTAATATCGTTATGTTTCAATTGAGGTTATATTTTGAATAGCCATTTAAAAGACATTTAATTCTTATATAAACCTAACACGTAATTTTCGGAAACTATTACGGTCTTTTGAAAAATTTATTTTTCAATTTTCATCATAATTGACTTCATTCGCCTAAATTCGATTCGTAGTTATATTATTCATAATTGTTTTGTTATTTAAAGAGATATTTTACGCGAAAAGATTTCGAAATATATATTTAATAATTTGAGAGCTTAGGTTGATGTCATAGTACATTATTTGTAATCGTTTCTTGTTTCGAAAAATATCGTAAGGGAATAGTGAAAAAGGATATTTTATATCGTGATTAAAAATGTGCAAAAATTTCTATGAAATTTAATTTTGATTGTTTAAGTAATAACGTTATGTTTCAATTGAGGTTATATTTTTAATAGCCATTCAAAAGACATTTAATTCTTACATAAACCTAACACATAATTTTCGGAAATTATTACGGTCTTTTGAAAAACTTATTTTTCAATTCTCGTCGTAATTGACTCGATTCGCCTAAATTCGGTTCATAGTTATACTATTGTCACCAGTACTAGTGTCATCGGCATTTGCCCGACAGTTTTCGCATGACACATGGTGCCATCAGACGTCATAGTGTTAATGAATATCGAGCTTAAAAATTTTATCAAATGGCGACTGAGGGGCGCCTCTCGAGCGCAAAGGGTTAAGTATCTCTAAAATAAAGCCTTTAACCTCTGTTCTGATACGGTGACAGTTGCTTTGCCCACTCTTTAATTTTTACCCAGCTCCTTGTAATTCAACAATTTTTAATATTTTTAACCCTTTCCACTCGAGGGGCGCCATTTAATAAAATTTCGAAGCTCGATATTGTCATTTTTGGTGTCACGCGAAATTGTCATTTTAGCCATCATTGTTGGTGATTCTAAAGATGGATATTAATTAACATATCAAATTTACAATTACCCAACGATACGTGGAATACCGAAGTAAAATAATTCTACGTCTTAATTTGCGTACGATTTCTTATTTACCGTGTTAGAAATATCGTCGAATCTATTATGAATCTATGACAGAAAGTGTTCGAATTACTATTTTCCTGTAACGAAAGAATCGCCGAGTGGAAAGGGTTAATATTTTTAATTCTTAATTTTCTTAATTTTTTAATTACCGTAAACGTTGCTTACCGAACGAACGGTTCACGTGTCTTAGAGTTCATTCTATCCAACGTGAAATCGGATCCATCCACAAATGCCCGTTAAACGAGAGTTATGTCATGGTGCAACGACGGAAAGCCGAGCGAAGACGCGTTATGCAAGAAGCTTCCTTGCGATCACGTAACCCCGATCGCATGAGGTTTGACAATTATTCCGTAATATCATTATCCCTGATCCAATGAGCTGCAATTACGCTTCTTAAGAGATTACCGGGCGCCGTGAAATTTATGACGGCGCTGCATTAGTAAACGAGCCTCTCACAGCCTCGCTTCTTATCGTCGTTTCGTTTTAGAAATCGTTTCGAAACGTATCGATAAGATAGTATCGCGTCACGCGGTGTACTGAGAGATTTTCGTACCCAATTCCCAGCTCGAGACGTGGAAATCTATAATTTTATAGTTACCATTTTCCCTAGGCTCGAATTACCGTAGATGGCGACGAGATATCGCTGTGTTATACATGTTTCGCTATTAATATTCCTCGGATATAACGGGAATGGAATATTCCAGATTTCTGGAAAAATTATAGGTGCTCTGTTGATAGTATATATTATTAACTGTGAGAAATAATTTTGCCAAGATATTTTAAATTAGAAGAAATCATTTATGATATATATATCTGAGAAATGATGTTATTGAAATATCTCAGATTTGTAGAAAAATTGTAGATGTTTTGTGGATATTGTATATTATTAATTCCGAGAAATAGTGGTGTCAAAAAATTTTTAGGTTAGGAGATATGGAATTTTTTATAATTTTCGATTTTTAATAAGTCAATCTTTTCTGTCTTTAGTAACATAATTAATTTAATAACTTCTATTATTTATAGATAAGCAATTTTTTATCGTTTCTTTGATAATTAAATAATGGAAGATGCTCCAGGTAGTCACGTTAAATCACTCACCCTGTATATTATACATGATATACTATTATAAAAAATATTATTAACGAAGAAAGTTTGTTCGAATAGGATTTATATTGCAGAAACATGCATATTAAATATGTATCACCATATAATAATAGAGTCACTAAAAATATTCGGGTTGGTCCAATTATTTTCTCAGATATTCACAGTGTTTGTCTACTATAGGTTGCGTGATATACAAACTATTGTAGTTCATTTACCCCAATAGTGATTTAAAATTCGCTCTCCGACCATCGACAATAGCTGTGGAGAAATTGATTTCCATGGATATAAAATCACAAAATTTTTATTTTGCTACAATTATTTTCCCAGGTATTCACGGTGTTGTCTACTATAGAATTCGCTACATAGAAACTTGTCCATTTACCCCGTTGGTGATTTTAAATTCCCTTTCCGGGCATCGACAACAGCTGTGTAGGAATCGGTTTCCGCGGATTTTCTCCTCGACTTTCGTGCTAGAGCACCGTGAACCACGGTGTAACTGTGTCACGAGGGGTCGATTCTAGGCCGACCTATGACGTGCAGCCAGCAATCGATATCATCTAAATACGATGCACACCTGCGAACGGTGAAGTCACTCTCCGGAATACGTGCTGTTCGCGCGCGGATGTGGTTATGCGATCGCAGCGCCGCGGCGGTTATCGAAATAATCTGCCGCCGGAAGTCGCCTTTAAATATACCATCCGCGTTGCTCGATCGAACTCGCGGTACTCCTCGATCCGTCTTCGTGTCATAACGATCGAGCTGAGGCAATCGTTTACAGTGACGTCGTCGTTTACGTGGAAACCACTCGCACGTACTGCTCGGCGAATCTTGGAATTACAACGAACCATTTTATTTTTAAATCCGATCTTAACTGGGCTAGGTTAGGTTTGGACTGGACGGAGAGTAATTCTGGTTGCTTGGAAATGGAATTTTTAATTCGTACGACGGAATCTTGGAAATTTACGCATGTACATAAGTGTCTTTGAATTTTGAGGTTAGGTGGGGTAGGTTCTAGGGGAATTGGCTTGGGGACTTGGAATTGGCTGAAATTGCAATGTTTTTGTAGCGACGAGGATTGTTAGAAATAGGGTTAGGTGATTAGGTATTATTTTTGGTAATTATACTTTACTTTACGCTAACCCTGTTGAGAAGTTTGGGAACTTCAAAGTATTTGAAATTAGAATGTTTTCATAGCGACGAAGATTGTTAGAAATAGGGTTAGGTGATTAGGTATTATTTTTGTTCAGTATAATTTATTTTATATTAACCCTGTTGAGGGGGAAAGTGTTGAGGAGGTTTGGATACTTGGAATTATCTGGAATTAGAATACTTTTATAGCAACAAGGATTGTTAGAGATAGGGTTAGGTGATTAAGTATTATTTTTATTAATTATAATTTATTTCGTGTTAATCCTGTTGTGGGGGCTTGGGAACTTAGAATTATCCGAAATTAGTATGCTTTTATTGCAATGAGGACTGTTAGAAATAGGATTAGGTGGTTAGGTACTATTTTTATTAATTATAATTTAATTTATGCTAACCCTGTTGAGGAGAATAGGGTTGAAGAGGCTTGGGTACTTGGAATTATCTG